AAAACCACAAATTTAAAGGGCAATTTATGGCGTCAATGTGCGACCCTAACATATACTAATCCTGCTATACGTGATCCCCCAAAATTCCCCTTATATATATTGGGCAGTAGAAAAAGCGCCGCGCAACGGTCCCCAAGAAAAATGATTAGCCAATTTAGTGTTGGGAAGGGGGGCAGCTAGGGCTCATTGAGAGCTAAGGGCCCATCGCTCACACTCCATCGCCCTCCGAAGAAGCTTGTTTATGTTTCCGGGCTTTGTCGCTTTTGGATGGAACGAACTTCTGTTTTGGTTAGGCGTCCTTTCAAAAATATCAGACGCTAGCTCGCTTTTATTTGGGATTTATCGATATTTTTTTGGCATTCTGGCAACGGATCGATATTTCCGGATATGGCTGATTCTATAATCTTCCACGCCTGAATATGTCCTCTTTGAGCCCTCATCCATGGTCTTAGACCCAAAAGGAAACTGGGGGGCTTTCCCGGGCTGGCTTTTCAGAAATGTACAAGTGGCAGAGGGTCGGAATAGCGAAGGCCATGGCGGGGGTTGCTTCCTTTCTGGGATCCACGTTGTGTGGGATGATCGTTTATTCGTTCTGGGTTACTATTTATATCTTTGATCTGTAGAAGGTAATATCATTGTCAAGTAAAGCCTGTCTTATTTGACGGTGGTATGGCCATTTAAGGTATGTTTTCATTTACGTCACTTCACTTGAGGGCACTTTTGCGTGGTAGCCCCAACATCCTAAATCAGTCGCATGCAGAAACTTTGATCGTTTTTAAAGCTTCCGGGACTTTACGATACGCCATTTTCTATTATTATATATTATTAAATTTGGCATTACAATACGCAAATCATTCCAGAATTTCCCATTTCTAGCACCGAAAAGAAGCCCTACCTCTAAACCTTGTTGTTTATCCACAAGTCCCGTTTTGAATACGGCAATGTATCCCAGACATTCGCTTTCCTTTTTCTTCTCCAGCTATTCAAAACGAATCGTTTTATACTAGGCCGTCAGCCACTTTATCCCGTTGAGGCTGCTCCCCCTGGGGAGGTTCCGTCCTCCCCTTCCTCGGCGCCGTCCCGGAAAACAGCTATAAAATTTCGGGCTCGCGAATTGGCGCGGTCGCTTCTGCTGCAGTTTGAAAAAGCCCACACTGCTCAGAGGCTTATTAGGCTCCAGAAACTACATTTTCATAAAAAAGGTGTTGTTCGGATTTCGTTGGTTATACAGTGGTGATTTTAAGTACAATTATTGTGACTAATTTGTTGGGGAGCCAGTTGGGGAGTTGGGGAGCCAACAACTAATTTTTGAATTCCCCGGAGAGCCAGCGTGGGGGGTTTATACGATTTTAGCGGCAAAATCCCGACTTTGCTGTCCTTCTCGAAGACGTCGATACCTTTTTCTACACTTTTTTTGATGTTTTCACAAGAGTTTCCATCGTTGTGTTACGAAAAAAAAATTTTTGATTCCTAGGAACACCTAGTAATTGGATTTGAGCGAACGTATGAACCCTGGGGAGTTCCTTTCTCATGGCCTCGAAATATCGCACATGGGCCTCCACATGCCTTCAATCAAGGACTCTTTTCCGTTCTTTCCTCTTCCCAGCTGGAGGGCTGCCATCCCCCATTTTCCGCATTCCCCCCTATTGACCACCACCAAATTGCTGGCACACTTCATTACGCCTTTAGAGGTGCTATTACTCTATATTGTAGCTTGACAAGCTATGGTTCAATTAATTTCGCGAGCGACAGGGGGGATCAGCCCTAACTACACGGCGTTGCTTTGGATGTTTTGTGTAATCCTTTACCCTGAGACGAAGGTATTAATCACGTCGGCTCGCTTTTTTTTTTGACAAAAGAGTAATTGGTAGGTAGAGGTTTTGTCTGGGTTTGAAGATACGTGGAAGTAGAGATGTTAAGGAATAAGTAAAAATGAGGATTATTTGCATAAAAAGGTATAAAAGTTCTTATATTGGTTAGGTGGATATTTGGTCCCATTTAAAACGCAGGTGCGTAGATAACGAAGAGCTCCTATTTACACGTACTAATACATTAGAGCGATTTTCCCAAGTTTTTTGGACTTTTTTTTGAAGGACAAGCCAATGTTGGCCCTAGGCCCAAGGGGGTTTCGTTTCAACGTTGCAAGTGCGACACGTTGTAAACGGGGAGAGAGAGACCCGCGTGCCAGTCGAGCCATGACCGGCTGGTTTGAGGGCCCATCACTGCCACTCCCATTTCCGCCTAGACAAATATTTCATTTTTTCCATCTATGATGCGTGTCGATTGACTGGGGTCAGCCGGAAATTCGAATTTGTTGCCAAGTTTTCGATTGAGCACTGAAGCAACTTGCCGACTAATTTGAAGTTTGAAAATTCTGTTATTTGGAAGCCTGCATAGAATTTCTTTTAAATGGACTAAAATGACAACGCCAGGATTTGTGGAATAAATTGCAGAATAATTTTTAAGAATATTTTAGAAGAATAATTTAGGCTTTTAGCGACTTCATTTAACGATTTACGGAAGCGAAAACTCCGGTATTTTACAAAAATTTTATTCTGCGGGCAAATAGGAAACAAGTATTTTAACAACTTTAAGAATATGCTAATTTTACGATTCATCTAGCATAATAGAAGTTATAACGTTCCGCTAATATTTGAATATACGGAATTTCTACAGGCACTTAAAAATGTCGACATCTGCTTTCGAATAAAAATCAGAATATGCGCTCCGAAAATCGAAACGGCTTTATGCAATTTTTGCATCGATTTCCCGGCGGCCAAAAGCCGTATTTCACTAGCCGATGACGGAAACACGAGCCGGATGTGTCCAATTCGTTTTCGGGGATTGATTCGATGGAATGCACAACTGACGCTATGCCCCCAACCCGATCACTTCAATTTTGCGCTCGTTCCTTGTCGCGTCCGTCTGGCTCTAAAGCTTAGAGAGCGCTCAAATGGACAAGTTTTTATCATAAGAATGCAGGTCAGAATCCGATTTATTAATTTGAATGAAAAGTCCTGTTGGATTTCTATCACATTTTTTGGCTTGGTCGTAATCCCATTTCCGGCGTCGAACATTCTGACGGTTATAACGAACTAGAAAATCGACCCGATTTGCAGAATTTGGTCGTTAATCTTTTGCAATAATTTTAAACCCTCAATTAAAATTGTGTCTACCAGACATCCGGGTGCGGAAATGGAAAACCACAAAAAAAAGACTTGATTAGCTGAACGGCATTAATTTTATTTTGGCCGGCCTTTCGCAGCATGAAATTGGATTTGCGGTAAATGTGAAGAGAAGATATGCTGTATGGTTGATTGCGTGAACACGTTCTCTCTCTCTCCCTCTCTCTCGGCCTTCAATAACGGAATTCTCGTAAATTCAAACCCCCCCCGTTCCCTTGCGAGCTTTTCAGGATGGCGAGACCCCTCACAAGGCCCCCGATTTGTCAAAATACCTCAGTTACCTTCTCCTTCTTCTTCTTGCTTCTCTTCCCCTTCCAATCTCTGCACCTTTCGGCTGGGAAAGCATATTTCCGCTAAAAATCCCTCGGGCAGAACAACAGCAGAAGTCTGCTTCTGGTTAAGGTCTCTAAGGTCCCTTAACCTTTTTACTACGGTTAGCAGCGGAAGGTAAGGAGGCGACCTTAAAGTAGATCTAATTTTGTTTGTGACCTCATCAATTTATAAGTTTTTTTTGGATTGATCAATTATTCAAATCCTATAAATTCTAAGCCTTTTTTGATGTTTTTAAAATGTCTAGTGGTCAATTTTACGGCCCCAAAATTAAATATTTCCGGCCAATTCCGATGCGCCTCGGCCACTTTAGGCGGCCAATTTTGTTTTTGCAGCTGAATGTGGAGGGCAACCGTTTCTCGGTTTCCGGTTTATAAATGGGGATAAGAGCTTCCCGAGGGGCTATGTTTTAGGTTGATAATTCGATTTCAGAAGAGGTTCGCTGCTCGAAGTGGGATGTATACCTTATTTCCGCTAATAAAAGAGGAGGGCTCATCCATATCTCTCGGTGTTCGTATTTGGGTTATTGTATAAGTATCTCTCTCTGAGTCTCTCTCTCTCTCTCTCTCTCTCTCTCTCTCTCTCTCTCTTTCTGGCTTTTCAGTAATTTTGCCTCCTCGTGCTTTGCACCTTTCCTAAATATTTCACCGAGCAAAACCACATTTTCCGATGACGCTGCGCCGTTTTTGGCGGAAGCGTAACTCGATGAGACCCTCAAATGGGAAAGTTTTGTTTTAGGAGATGGTGGAGAGGAGTTGTTGGCATTGGAGTCTCTTTGACAAGCTGGCCTTAGTTGAATAATTTACCCCTTCGTCTTCTGAGGGGTGCGGGATGGACGACACAACCCGCAGGGCGGCTCTATTTTCGAGGTCCATGCTGCCTCGATTACTTGATTAATCGTGGGATCCGAGGGGGTGGTTGGGTGGGGGAGGTGGAAGAAATAGAAGAGGGGAATGTAAGGACGTGGATGTGGATGGGGGGTTGTAGCCCCAGGGGGAGGGATAAATTGTGAGGGTTTTACGATGAGGGGCAACATTAGTCTATGGATTTTTGAGTGGTGCTTTATTTTATAGCGTAGAAAATTTGGTAGTCTATGTTACCCTGAGTTTTTTTTTAGGTTATTTACAATTAAGAAGACAACAGCGAGGCCTAATTTCACTTCTCCTGGAAAGAAGGAAAGAAAAATTAGCGATTCGCCCCAAAAACGTCCCCAGCGAGCCCTCCCCGGCCAACTGATTTGTTTTGTTTCGGCTTTTCCCCCCACCCCCAACCAAATCTCCAATTCGCTCATCCTTTCTTCCCCCCAGAATCCCAAACTCAAATTGATTTTCTAGGACTTCGAATTTCGAAATTTTGCCTTTCCGATCTATTCCAAGCCAAAACCTTATAAATTTCTCGTGCTGCTCATTAATTCCAAGCTGCTCGGTCTTTACGAACGATCGAAACCCTCTCAATTTCAGCCATTCTACCCGGTGATGCGGTGAGATGGTGAAGCTCGAAGAATTTGACATCGAATTGAACAACGCGGAACATGCCTATTTTGCGGGGCAAGAGATCTCGGGCCGGGTTGTGCTCTCGATAACGGAGCCCAAGAAGATCAACGAAATTTTGTTGGAAATAAAGGTTAGTTATTATATCGCCTTTTGATTCTTTTTCGTTTTTTAAAGACCTTTCTCATGAGAAAAATACTTTTAGGGGCGTGCTCGGACCTATTGGACCAAGGACCGAGGAAAGTCGAGGAAGCATTGCGCCCACTCGGAGCCCTACTTCTTGGAGCAGTTCAACACCAACTACACGCACAAATTTGGATCGGTTGAGGTGAGAAATTCTAATATGAAAACGAAATGCAATTTTAGAATCAAGAGCGTATTCTGCCGGCCGGGAAGCATGAGATTCCATTCTCATATACGCTTCCTAAATTTTTACCGTCATCTTTTGAGGGCGAATTCGGGTTTATTCGGTATTGTAGCATAAAATTATTCTTATATTAATGTTTAAGATATACAATAAAGGCGCTGTGCGAGCGCCCATGGGATTTTGACATTTCAACGAAACGGGCATTCACTGTGATTGGAATCGAGGATATTAATAGTGAGCCAAAGGTAGGGATAACGATTTGAAAGGAAAAAATTTTAACGCTAAAAAATAATATTTAACTTCCTTTAATTTAGTTAAACGAACCAGCCAGCTCAATCGAATGTTCAACCGCGATAGCATGGTGCTGTAGAGGGAAGGGTTCTGTAACAGCCGAGATAGCGATACCCAAAACTGGATACACGCCTGGGGAGCCGTTATCTATTACAGGTATGTCCTACATTTATCGACATTAAATACAAAAGGTATTTGAATAACAAATTACAGGCATTTTTTGCGCCCCCCACCCCCCAGAAAGTCCAGCTGAAAGTCTGCCCATTCGAATTTTTCGACCCTGTAATTTTGAAAGAACATGTAAAAAATAATTACGAATCCTACTATATATAAAAAAATAGTGTCTGTGTGTGTGTGTGTGTATATTTGCATGCAACTTCCGTAAGTATGTACCGCACCTACAGCCTCAGGGGAAGGTTTTTAAGGTACTTATGATACGTCATTAGGTGCGTAATGGTCCCGAGATGGGTGCACACATATAAAATTGAAGAAAATTGGCTGTTTTAGCTATTAAAATTAAGTTTTTGTAAATATATCGAAAAACCTCTTTGTTAGGAGGTAATTAGCATTGACCGGAAGTGGCCGTAGCCTATAAAAATGGAGGGAGCGTGCGCTTTTCATTTTTTGGTGCTCGGCATTCGGCAAGCCCTCTGTAAAGTCAAATTTTTCAGATGTCCTAGACGGGTCCAGGGTTGAAAAGCCGCGAAGCGGTTTTTCAACCCTGGTCTCCTTTAATTGATGACCTCTACAGTTCGAAGGTTATCTCTACATAATTTTTCGAGCAACGTGCATTTCGAAACGATTAACTAAGTTAAATGGGGCTTATGGCATCAAATCACTTCTTGCTAATTACAGGGAAAGTCTGCAACGAGAGTACAAGATCGAAAACCGCCTGTTTTCGGTTTCTACAAACCATCACATACAAGTAAGCAATGTTTATAGCTAAAAGCTCAATTTCCAGAGCCAAAACATTTGCCGGACATGAAGAGACAAAAATTCAACAGCGTGTCATAGCGAAGATTCCAAAGGTATTATTAAATCTCTGGTTATTAAACTTTATTTGACGATTTCTAAGAGATCACTTCAGTAGTATTGTATACGTAATACCTTCCAATTTAGGGAGAAGTGAACGCGCATGAGACACGAAATCTATCAGCCCTTCTCCCTCTACCATCACTCTGCCCGAGATTAGGAAAATGTCGAATTATTTCAATATTGTATACGATTGAATTGGAGGTGAGTTTTATTATTATTTAGGAAATTTTTGACGAGTACTGTAGCCAATTGCCTAAACTTGATTGAACGGCAAAATTGTAATCCTCTTAGGTGGAAGAAGCGAACGCTCCAGTGATCCCTCTATTTAGGGTAATTTGGACTTTCGGAATCCGTTAGGGGCCGCCCATCTCAACTAAAATATGCATGGAAATTGATTTTGCAAAATATAGAAGAACTTTAAAGATGTCCAAATAGATTCCAAGTTTGCAAACTCAATTCTCCTGGGCTATATGCGTTAATGTGCAAATCATTCACATCTTCTCCCGTTGTGTTATCCCCCTCGGCGTGTAGCTCTTTGATATTTCTACCGTAGCTGCCTGGATATGGCTGAATTCCGCGTGGCACCGCTAAAATGCGTCGAGTTGTTAGATGTTCTTGGGTGTTGTTTGGCGAAAGGCCAAAGAATGACTTGAACGCAGCTCCTATTCGTTTTCACTAAAAGTTGCTGTTATTTGAAGTGTGGATGTGGTTGCATTGGATGAGACGATGATTTAGGTTGAGCAGGCAGTGACAGCGACATTGCCGGTGGTGATTGGGTCGATACCAGCGTTGTGTGAATTGTTATCACATTCAAAGCATCGGAATGGGAAACAACGGCAGAGTATTGAGCATAAGGCTGAGGAGAAGACGTTGGAGGCAAGATGCGTTCAGGTATGTGCTAAATACGCTAAGTATATACCTTCGATATCTAAGTAATAGACTAACACTTAGGATACAAACTACAAACTTCAACAAAATAAGGTTTTTTCTCAGCTATATTCCTTGTATTTTTAGTCTGTTATCCTGACATTAGGTTTAGATATTTACATATATATTTTTAAAAATAAATAAAATGATATAATACATTTAAGGTTACAATAACCGATGAAAGTGGCCGAACAGTCGATTCAGCAGAAGCAGATGCACTTTCCACGGAATTAGACGCCCTGTTGTCGTCTCGAAAACGGGTCCGTATGCCAAGTTCCATCCTCTCCGAACTTTATCCAACACTGCCAAGTCCATATTACAGGTAAATCTATTAACACAAATGCTTTTACATGAAAAAACTATGAAAAATCCATCCATCTATTATAGAGAATCCGTTTTTGGCGCCATCGACATATCCGAAGAAAAAGAGAGCTTCCAATTCGGCGAGAAACTGTTCGCCCCAAAATATCCATTCTACACCGATTAACCCCCCCACCCATCATTGCCTCTATCACCCCGGTGGAATAATTTGTAAATACCGTATGCTCGGCTAGCTAACGAAATAAATTTATTTATTATGCACACAAAGTACAAGCAATGCACATGGATATTCATCACATAGTCACGATAAATGATATAGGGAGCCCGTGTGTAGAACGACCATCATCAAGCCGGTGGTGGTCAGGGGGGTTGGCTTAAAGTAGCCAGTAAAAAGAAGGTATTTCTAAGGAAGTGAAAGCTTGTAATGGTAAGTGATTGCTTGATCTCGACCCAAAAATGGTTGACAAACATGAAAAGAGGGAAATTGAGAGAAATGAGGTTGAGCTGAGCAGTGATTTCGTGTGGGGATTATTGGGGGGAATCTCCTGGTAGCACAAAACTTTTCGGGAATGGCACGAAATTGGGCAAATTTTAGGGAATATGTTGGGCAGCAGGGTAGGGTGGATGTTGTTTAGTATCGTCCGGTGTAGGCAAAACGGCCCGTCTAAAAATTGGGGAATTCAATTAAGGATAATTATGTTGATATTTTACGGTGACTTCGTTAGATTGTGAATATATCGTAATATATCAAGATTAATTCGACTATTTTACATAGTTAGTATTACCTGTTGATACGCCGCAGCGGTGTTCAAGTGCGGACTTTGCCTTTGTGAATTCTGACTGCTCGACGGCGACGCATTTTGCAGATTCCAATATGAGCCGTATAACGAGACACGTCCGTTCTGAAAACCCACCCGTGCGGTTATTGTGAGATAATACTAGGGTTATAGGGCCATTGTATAAGACGAGTGATCATCTGCTTTGCTTAAATTATCCTACCTGGTTATACGCATTCATCTCAGCGCTTATTCGGGCTGCTTTATCCAAATGGTCTTCATAATCGAGGTGTTGGCTATTCCGCTTTACATTATAACCACCAACAGGCCGAACGGAATACGACGGCCCGTATAAAGCATGTAGGCGTTCTGATGATCTCCTGAATTTTGAATGTAATTCTATGAAACAGTGCTCTCACCTCCTCCTACAGAAGAAGAACAGGACGATACAGAGTAGAATCAATAGCCAGGCAGCCACAATTGATGCCGGGATGATCACCGCCATGCCTAATAAAGTGGAATTAATGTAATTAATTAAAACTATTATATTATTATGGTTAATTTTGACTTACGACTCGCAGCGGCGTTGGCAGCTTCTCGCGCTTTCAAAGTGTTTTCTGGAACCGACGCTGGTGCTGTGACCAAGCCTTGGTTTGGAGGCCGTGTGGGCTTTGGACTCTTGACAGCGGTGGCAGATGGCCGCAGCGGCTAAAAAGTCATAGACTTGATTGCCACCAAAATCTGGATACCAACAATTTTTAACCTCAACCTCCCCACGCTTGCCAGTGACTTACCGGTTTTGTGGTGAAGACGAGAACGTGCTCAGCAGCTGTGGTAGCCTCGGTGCCAATGTTACTGTTCTCGTTGGGTGACTTTGTGCCTGGACGGTTTGCAAACAGCAATGATAGGTCAATTTCTGGTGTTGTTGGCTTTGTGGTTTCTTCGTCAAAATCCGCATCCTCCGGGTCTCCAGTGACCAAATTTGGGAGGGTGGCATCATGATGGTCGAGTTCAAAGATGCGATTCCGGATTCCGAGGGTGGTTGTTGGTACCGTAGGTTCGATTCGTTCTTCGGTTTGTGATGTTTGAGAATGCGGAAACTGTGGTAGGACAGTGTTTGGTTGTGGTTCCTAAAGGGTTTTGGTGGAGGTATAAAAACAACATTTCTGATTTTGATAAATCATGTTGATTGTCTTTAAAGCTATTTACGATCAAACATTCAAAAACAAATTGCTTTAATTTAATTCTTATGGCATATATTTTTCAATCATTGTGCTTTTGTTAAATTAGTGTTAAAAACCACATCAATTACTTTCTTTTACAACTTTTTGTCCAATCCCTTTAAAAACTTTCGCTACCCTTACCTCAACCTTCTGAACCCTCTTCGCCTCCATCGGTCTCTGCGGTGCCGGAAGTGCGAAATGCCCCTAATTACAAGTTAGTCTCATTTTAATCGGTGTCTCTCCAAACCTCATTAGCCTTTGGTGCAAACGGCTCGATCGAATTCTCCTCTTCAATGGGGAACCTCGTGGCCTCGGTGATTGTAGGAACGGTCGGGATGTTTTCGTTAATTTTTTGAATTCCCTACGGGAGTGTCAAGTTGTGTTATCCAAAAAAAAGTGGGTACCTGTCTGGCGGAGCTGAAGTCGGGCCGTTGCACTTTTTGGCGTTGAGTGAAAATTTCTGGGATTACGGTGACGAAGGGTGGGAATGTGACCTAAAAAGTTTTGTATTTTGGTCGGGGGGGGGGGCTAGGCTTAGGCTTAGGCTTAGGCTTAGGCTTAGGCTTAGGCTTAGGCTTAGGCTTAGGCTTAGGCTTAGGGCGAAGGCTTAGGCTTAGGCTTAGGCTTAGGGCGAAGGCTTAGGCTTAGGCTTAGGCTCAGGCTTAGGCTTAGGCTTAGGCTTAGGCTTAGGCTTAGGCTTAGGCTTAGGCTTAGGGCGAAGGCTTAGGCTTAGGCTTAGGCTTAGGGCGAAGGCTTAGGCTTATGCTTAGGCTTAGGCTCAGGCTTAGGCTCAGGCTTAGGCTTAGGCTTAGGCTTAGGCTTAGGCTCAGGCTTAGGCTTAGGCTTAGGCTTAGGCTTAGGCTTAGGCGTAGGCTTAGGCTTAGGCTTAGGCTTAGGCTTAGGCTTAGGGCGAAGGCTTAGGCTTAGGCTTAGGCTTAGGCTCAGGCTTAGGCTCAGGCTTAGGCTTAGGCTTAGGCTTAGGCTTAGGCTCAGGCTTAGGCTCAGGCTTAGGCTTAGGCTTAGGCTTAGGCTTAGGCTTAGGCTTAGGCTTAGGGCGAAGGCTTAGGGCTTAGGGCTTAGACTTGGGTTATACCTCAAAGACGTCTGGGGGAATTTCATTGATGTCGGCGTCAGAAATGGAGACTAAGGGCCTGGAAAAAAAGTAGTTGAATAGGTTTTGGAGCTGTACTTGTGAGGCGTGCTGTTGAATATTGGCTTGGGGCGCAATGTTGTGGTTCGAGGGGGTTCGGGCATAGGGAATTCGTCTTGATGGGGGCGAGATGCTACTGGAGCTTTTACAATTTCTGGTTCAATGAATCGAGGGCCAGGCCGTAGGCGTTGCTCTGAAGAAAATATTTTTATGAATTTTATGTGAAAAAACCAACCTGGTCTTGCTTGAATCGAACGCGATACTTCCGTGGTAGTTGCCGAAGTTGCGATTGGGAAGGAAGGAGTCATCCTCCTTGACGACGGCGCAGAAGCAAGCGTTGGGTGTTGAGTCTGGAACCATAAAACTAACGTCGAATTTAGCAGCTTACCTGGGACTCGGTTTCGCAATACGGTGGCTGTTGCTCAGGCCTCACACACCCGGGTACGATTTCTTTGTCGATTTGGAAGAGCCAGACCCCTACAAACGAATTCTAAGTATTTTTCAAAAAAATCACCTGGTTGTTTCACATTTGTCAACTGATTCAAAAGCTCCACACCATCGGAGCCGGAACCAGGTAACGAAATGGAATTCGATTGATCGGGTGACACAATTCCGGCCTAAAGGCTCCAAAATTTAAATTTTCCAAACACTTTACCTCAGCCCCACGATTCCAGACTAAATCCTTATAAAGCAGCTGCGCGAAAGTAGCCGGTGTACCACCGATCTGGCCAGAAGTCAGGACGGCTTGGAAGGAGTTTCCACGCTAAAACTTTGTGGAGAATCTTCAAAAGGAAAAACCTTGCTTCGCCCATCAGTGACGTTATTGTAAGAAACCAAAACCGCCGACTCGAGACCGAACGGCTCGCCAAGGGCCGATGAGATACTGTCGGCGATTCGAGTAAGGACAGGGGTTTCTGATTCAAATCCATTTTTTCTAATGGTTAAAATACCTTTGACTTGTGATACAGTGATGCTTCCGCCTTTGGAAAGATCTATTGGTGCGTAGAAAGGAGCGACGGCTGCAGTGCCGACATCATCAAGGTGAAGCAGCTGAAATCGGAGAGCTGTTGTATTCTTTTTGTATCTCTCACCTCTGAAGCTGATTTGGTGAATTCCCCGACGGCAATCAGGCCATTGGAGCTGATTGTCAACGAATCTTGCATTGATCCAAACAGCATCATTGGTTTTTCAAGGGCGAATGGCATCTGGCAGGGATAGTTTTGCTTGATTTCCAATTTCAATTACTTTTACACTCTTGCCCTTGGCCATCACTCGCTGTCCTTCACTTGGATATAATAGGGCTGGCACGCATGATGTCTCACCATCGCCTAGAAGAATTTCTGACCTTTGTAGCCACATTTATAGTTTTGATTTTTGGCCTTCGCAAAACCCGCAAAACCCTTATTCCTTTTTTACAAAAATACCTAAAAAGCCGTCGATGCATTGGCAGAAGAATCGGCCGGGTGTATTCGTGCAGGTGGCTTTCTCGTGGCATACGTTCTTATTGCTGCACTCGTTGATGTCTAAAAATAAAAAAGTCAGGTCAGTAAGGTTATCTCACCTTCGCATTTCTTGTAGCCATCGCCAACGAAACCGGCCAGACATTGACATTTTGGGGTTGGTTCGCCACATCTGCAAAAGCATGATTTCTTTCCGGAATTCAAATTTACCTGTCTTTATCCATGTATGAGAGAGCATTCGCCGCACATGTTGGCTGATTTCTTGCTCGGCAGCCATCTCTTTCTGAAATTAAATGTTTAACATAAGTATTCATGCATCTTACATAGAATTTTAGGTATTTGACCTGCAAAATTTTTCTCAGACTTTCTTAGGCTAATTAACTTTTTGGCTTCCGAAAAGCCCTATTCTTGCAAAATCCGTTTTTCACTCTTTCTTTCCTCGCTCTCTCTCTCTCTCTCTCTCTCTCTCTCTCTCGCCCTCCTTCTTCCTCACGCTCCGCTCCGTGTCCCTCTCAAAATCATTGAACATTTCCATCCCTGTAGTCTAGACACCGACGCAAAACCAGATTTTCCCCAGCCCCCAGCCATTGGCCCCAAGGGTCCCAGGTGATTATTACCTGCCCCCAAAAAAGAGCGGATTCTGGGGCGGGGCTTCTTCACACCGGATTCCCGTGAAACAAACTGTTTCCACGTTTTCTCTACTTTTCCAAAAAGTTGCTAAAATCCCCAGCTCACGCCCCTTTTTACCGCAGGCCCTACCGCCAAAACGCGGGATGCTTCATTTCAATCTGGGCCAGCTGCCCTGCTTTATATTCTCTAATATTCGACAAGCTGCGGTAGGTTTGGGAGTGATGTCGAAAGTAGAGGAGAATAAACTTCAGTTGAGAAATAGCCTCCCCCCACCCTCTGTAGGAAGCCCTGCCCCCACTCCAAATACGCTACCTCTGCCGTCTAGCGCGCTGAGGTAGTTTATAATGGAGCCGGGGCAGGGTTTAGATCATCAGTTTCCGATTGAAGCCACTATTAAGAAATTCGGCTGAGGTTTTTTACTGGTAACTCATCGTTTGATGGCGTAGATGAGGTATCGAAAATGACCTCAGACGGGTTTTTTGGAAAGGAGACCAGGTTGGAAAAGTAGAGGGCATACGATACCAAAGCCAAAAAACTGACTTGTACTGCATGAAATGCCGGTCCAGCATTCGGCACATCCGGCTTTGCAGGCGCCATTGACAATATCACAGGCGCCAGTAGAACAGTGACAACAATTGTGACAATCAGCACCCCACTCGCCATGTGTACACTCTAAAATATAACTTTCAAAGAGTCAAATAGACTTAAAAGTCAACCAAGAATTTTTCTACAAATCATAAATTAGATTTCGTCGTTTGTATATCTGTACTGCAACAATAAACACAGATTGTAGCATTGCATATATACAAGCGACGAAATTTAACCCCTACCTTGATCACAAGTGTCCCCCTTGATGCCGGGCTTGCAGCGGAGAACCCGATCCGATCCCAGCTCGAACATCCATTCACCCGGGATACCCGTGTTTCCGTATTCTTCCAAGTACATGATTTTCTCGGAGCCAGATGAGGGCAGGGAGTAGTGATCCCCAGAGTCATCGCCCTTGTTAAATCCGGCCTGAAAAGGACAGATAAGAATTAAATATGAGCGGAATGTAAGGAATCAAGTTGAAGCTTAAAAAATTTGATACCTCGGCTCCTTGGGTCCAGCCAACATTACTGTAGATAAAGTTGGCAAAAGTGCCATTGTCCGTGATGAAGAGGGCAGCTTGGAAAGTGTTGGTATTCTGAAAATATAACACAACCTCTGAGCAGATACTTTAAAACGTAATATGCATGCAAAGCATAAATTCTGTACGAATCAAGTGCCCGCTGACCTCATCTGGCAAAATCGTAGTCCCAAGCGGTTGCATTTTCTCCCAGGTGACAACGATGGCAGCGCGGACCTTGAGGTATAGGTAATTGGAATTCGAAATATTTTTAATCAATTTATACAATAGTCTTAAAGTGTATGTGCTTACCTTTACGTTCTTATCATATTGGTAACGAATTTCCGACTGTCCTCGTTCAAGAACGCGGCCACCTCCAATAAAGTTTTTCGAAATTCAAAAACTAAAACTTACGAGTTACTTCTCGATACCAAACATGGCCACCATTCCTCAAATCGTTGCGATTCCAGAACGGGGCGATTAGCTTGGGCCCTTGGGTGAAAATGTGGGCTCGGTGGGATCGGGATACGCTTTCGAAGCCGAGGGCTCCGTTTGAGAGCACCTAAAAAGCTCTGTTTTGAAGAAATGCTGTTTACATTTGAGCATAATTTTAAATACTTTTAAAGGCATATAAGTATCATTTTAAGCTCTAGATCTCGTAGCATTTCGCGATTAGCAAATTACTTCCGATCCGCTAGTCTAGTCTATTATTGCACTTTTCAAAACTCACATAAATCTCCTTGAACGTATCGCCAAAGTACCGTAACCCTTGCGTCAGCTCCAATTTTTTGCCCACATCCAACGACCGGGGCACCTAAATCCGTTGGTCTCAGATTATCCGAACAAGCAGATGAAGGGGCCAAGAAGGGCCATACAGTACGGATTATATGCCCCAACCGGCATTTCCCACCACTTGACCGAAATGAATAAATCCAGACGGTTCTGATCCCTGATCAAGAATGGCAAGATTTTGGGGAAGAATCTCACCTCTTGGTCCCCAGCTTCTTTGCCGTATTCAAATAATCTGGATGAGAAGAGGGGAGCGGTGACCTGAAATAAATTGAGAATAATGTAAAAGGGAGTGGATACCTGGATTTGAATTTCCTTAGGGGTGGCAAGTTGTCGCCGAGATCGAGCTAGGCTTGGATCCCTTTGGATCGCCGCCCGAATTCTGTCCTCCTCGATTTCTTGCTCAATTCTAAAGCAGGATTGACCACCACACCAAATTTAAATAACTTTATAGGAATCAAAATATCAACACTATAATATTCATACCTCATTCTTGCCGCTATCCTTTCAGGGTCGATCCTCATCGATTGTGTTGTGAGGAGGAGAGTGGCCAACCATAGTGGCCACCCCATTATAATCCTAGAAAAAAGCATTAACCTTATTAGTTATTATTTAAAAGCGCTGCATAAAAATAGAATAGGCGTTAGGTGGAAAATCGGTGGAGCCGTATGGACAAACCAAAGAACTGTATGCAGAAAAATCTCGGGGGGAGTTTAGGCCAAGTGGCTTGACCCTCTCGGCGACCTTTGGCCCACCGCCATTTCTAGAAAATCAAAGAAGAGGAGACGATAGAAAGAGAGCGAGAGAGACCGGGAGAGAGAATCTTCCAAAAATCCGTTGTGATCGTGCCCTCATCGAGGGGACCTGGCACTTGACATGATTTTTCACGGCTATGAGGGTGGGTTTGGTGGGATGGGCATCGGGATTTGAATACGAGATTTTAGTGGTTTGCTAGATAAACAAAAAATTCCGTATGTAAAAAGCAAAACAAACGACTAGTGTGGAGTGTGTGGAGTTTTATATCGAGGAATTTATCATTGATCCATAAATGTGTAGCTACAGAACTGTACGCTTTACAGGAAGTCTGTATATAAATAAAATAGAAAAAATATACATAAATACAGGATGTCCCAAAAAGAAAGCACCCCCTCTAGCGGCGCACAGCCGTGTCCGATTCACGCCGTTTAGGTATCTATCGAAAGCTCTCAAAAAGGCGAGAAAACATGGAGAGTTCATTTTTTTTATTATGTATTTTTATTGGCGAATTTTACCTCCAAATTCCATGAAAATGGCAGATTTACGCGAGATCCGCATGCTAATTGTGAAATTCCTATTGGAAAGATACCTGTTTTTTTAGAAAAACGCTGAATATCGGACGAATCAGAATAAATCTTAGAAAATGAAGCCCGCTTGTTTTCTCGCCTTTCGAATGGTATAAAAATCATCCGGATCTGAACCGGACCGCTAGAAGAGGGTGCTTTTTTTTGGGACACCCAGTAGATATAGAATCTCGTAAGTATAAAATGTGTAGTTGAGTATCATATAGTATTATCTGAGAATTAAAGGCCCAAGTAAGCAATACAACCCAGTAAATCGAATGCTCTACATCGAACACTATACAGTGCCCCACAAACTGGAAGCAGAGCAAACAAGTCTAAAGCTGGAACGAGGACGTGCCCCAATGCCCCTATCTGGCCATCTCGCCGAGTAAATTCACAGCTCTGCCTCCAAGCCCAGGAGCAGCTCCATTCCCCCTGAAAACAATGAGATGGTGCAGATCTGGTGTCTGTCCCCTGCCATACAGAACTATTTGCCGAGTTCTATTGGATAACTGGTGTGTGGGGGTGGCCAATCCCACTTGTCCGATTACAGATTTGCATATGACTGGCGGGCATTTGATTGGAATCCCCCTCTCTTTCCACTCAACAACGGATCGGTCACTGGATTGCATGGGGGGCTGAAGGACACGTTTTTGTGAATATGACATGGGATATGGTTTTGGCAACTTTTGGGATGGGTCGGAGCTAGTGGTCATATGGGATTTTGGTTTTAATGTGATTCATTAGGGCATGGATAGGATCGAATTGATAGCAGCTTGTCTGAATATATGCAAAAGTAACAGAATGAGAGAACGGGAGAGAAAGAAAGCGAGCGAGAGAGAAAGAGTGAGACAGCCGGCGCGAAAAAAGATAACAAACCTTACATTGAACGAGAGAGAATGAAAAAAAAAACAAAAAATATTTCATAATCCGGTAAATACGAATACCTGGAGAAAGTTTCGCTATTCAGGGTTAGGTAAGGGAACGAAGGGGTGCTGTAATTGCTCCGTCCCCCAAAAAATGGCCCATCTCAAAAAGTGTCGAAATCCGGAAATTGCCAGCAAGAGGAAAAGTTTGTTTTCAAAGGAATTAGATGGAAACTCTGAAAAAAATTGAAGGACGAGTTTGTTAATTAAACGTCAGCAGCCAAAAGCTCAAGCAAACATGGCTTTTGCATTGACCAATGCCATTTCCAGCTGCCCGTTCGAATTCCACGAAATTCAGGTGTTCCGCGCTGCGGGTGCGCGCTGTACGAACAATTTGAGGCCGTAGGGGGTGGGCCGATTAAGGGGACCCTCCAGGCGGGGCTGTGGTGGTGGATTGTTGTGGAAAGGGGGGGGGGGGAAAGTGGAATCCAGATCGGTGTTTCGGGGCACCGGTCCAGGCATTGAATGCACACAGGTCAATCGAGGTCATAATCCGTCGATCGGTCCCGGTCCCGGTGTCCGAAAATGGTCAATGGGGTGGCCCTAAGCCGTTGTGTGGGTCTGTTGGAATTCGGGTTAGGGCCACCACCTGTGATGGGTGCCCCTACGGGTCGATGGACACTAATCACCGGTGGGAAGGGTGGGCGGGATGCTTTTTGTAGCAGGTCTTTAATAATGGGGACCTAGCGTTCAGTTGGGTAGTACGGTCGATTAGGTTGGGGCAAAGGCATGGGTTTAAATCTTTTTTAAGGTTTGAGAAAGGCCATCAACACGGATTATGGCATCTAGAGGATACAAAACTGTTTGTCCAGCGAAGTAACCCGCAGTGAAAAATAAAACTGATCAAAGTGGCCAACCGACAAAATTAACCTTGCGTACCCATGGCTTAATAGTTACTGTTCGCGTTCCTGGAGTTGAATTCCGGTAAAAAAATAAAGTTACCAATAAAAGACTCAATTTCAGAAAAGCAAAAATTCAGAAAATACACAACCGGCACCGCAACCGCAAATTTAAATGGTTTTGGCAGTTAAAAGATTTAACGTATAAAAGTCCGCATGAAATTTGGAGCTGATTCACCAAGAAAAACTAGTTAAAGGAGTCAGGAAACTGTTTTAGCCGACTTTTTACCCACAACTATGCGCGATGTCGATACAGACAGGAATTTAAATTCTAAAACGCACGAAATACACAATAAGTAAGAACGTTTTAGTAAAATTTGCAGCTGACGAGACCCAATCGGCAAAATCTTTGAAATTCAGTGCTTCCTAGCGCCTTTAAAACGACACAACTCCCAGAAAACGCTCCAATCAATTCCCCAAAACCATGCATGCCTGGCAATAAAATGAGACAAACTGATCGAAGACCCTTTGGGATAGCCTTCTAGCCACAGGGCAGGCTGGCTCATTGGTGGCGCAGCGGGGTGGCTGTGGTCTGTCCAAATATTATGGCGTGGAATAGGGTGGGTGAGGGTAGAGGAGGAGAGCCTGTACCACATCCAATGGTTGCAAGAGGGGTACCTTCTGACATGGTATCTCCGGCACCACCACCGGATCCAGTTTCACTGTACACCCTTTTCACCTTTTGTTATAAAAGGGTGGGGACGCGGCTTGGCGCGCTAGGTGCTAGGGACCATATTTGACCCCCCGTGGGGGTTGTTACCGCTTCAGAGAATGCGCACTTATTTTATTAAAGGGACGTGGACGGCGTGTACATGGGTGAATTTTAGCGCTTGGTGATACGCATTTCCAGAGCTTCACAGCGTAATCAATTACGATTTTTGGAAGTGGAAAAGTGGAAAACAGGTGAATTTTTAGCTAACAAAATTCAGATACCTTGCCCGTCACTTTAAAGGCAAAATTGGCACGCATGCTTGAAGTGAGAAAAAATCCATGAGATTAACCGGAAAAAAATCGAAATGTTTAGCCGCTCCTTTTAAGAAAGCTGACTATGCGTTTTCGACTGCCCTACGCATGCGTGTCCCCGGAATTCCATGGTGTAATGGATCAAAAATGAGTTTTTTTGAGGGGGGGCAAAATCCACAGTAATCCAGAGGTAGCAAAACATCAAATTCCTAGCCCACCTCGTTAGAGAAACCGGAAAGACAAAATTTGGCCCGATATCTATCAAAAGTGCAAAATCCAAAAAAACATCATCCACGCAAGTTTAGCAAGCCCGAAAACTTTCCCAAAAAAGTAGGACTACCCCCAGAATTAGCTCAACCGAAGGGCATTTTCAAAATTAGCATTGAAGGAGGATGAGGCTGAGCATGAGGAGGATGAGGAGACGGCTGCAGATAGGTGAGCGTGTGCCTCATAGAGGCTGGAAGAAGAAGGGATGGGATGGAAGGGAGGAGGAACGGAGACAATACACCGGGTCACCCAGGGTCAAGGTGTCCCTCAACCACCATCCTCAACCCATTCACGTCTAATGCCAAAGCGGCACCGATTTTTGGGGTTGTATTGTTTTTAAATGGTCGGGTTAAACGGTGGCGTAGTTTCGATTTGGCCACAAAAAATTTAGGGTTTTTTTTTGGTAAAATTTGAGCGAATAAAGTAGTTTTTGGCTGAATTTACTTGCCAATTTTTAAAAATTATCCAATCAGGTGATGCGGAAGCAGGAATAAGCCACAAAAATCAGCGGATTTTTTGGCAAAATTTTGACGATACATTCAGATTTTTAGTGGATTTGCTGTTGTAGTTTTTTAATTGTGCTGTTAAACTTTTTTTGTGGCTGGAATAAACTATCAAAAAATAATTGGAATTTTGGGGCAAAATTTCATTGACTTGGATGTTTACTTACTTTCACTGTTTTTCATTACCAGAAAATTAAAAAATGAAACCGAAAAATTATACATTTAATTAGCGTAGTGTATGCTACAAAAGATAATTTTTGTGAAATTCATTGGTTTTTCGATATGTGATGGCTTTGGCTTTTTCTAACGCTAACTAAATATCCCATTTAATCATGATAATCCATTACCTTCGCTGTGGCCAACCTGTCCTTCGAGGGAATGGACCAGCTGGACACATAAAGGGGTTTCCCGATCCCCTTTTGGGGACCCATATTGGAGCCCTTGGCGCGTTAGGGTCAAAGAAGGTCAACACAAATTGGCTTATTAGATCGCATGCCTGCCTGGAGGACAACAACGGTTATAAAAAGGGGGCGTGGGAGAGGAAGTCGTGATTAGAAAGGCAAATGTTTGGGGAGAAAATGTGGATTTGGTCTGGTAGTCAAATAATGTTAGATACTGGTGGTAAGCTAGTTTCGGCTGGAAGGTATTGTATGTGTTTGTACCGATATCGGAACCAATAATCAATTAACGAAGTC